AGTTCTCAGCTACAGAAAACTTTCCTCCTGGCCTTGGTACTGCTTTCTGAACGCAGAGGCCAGGAACAGTGTGCACTTCCCGGCTCACTCCTGTGTGTTCATGCGGCGGCATCTGTGGGGTGCACAGGCGAGGGTGAGATCAAAACTCAGAGAGACGGGAGGAGTGGTAATGAGAAACTGCATAGGAAAGACATCGTGTCAGAAAGCAGCTCTTAAAGAGAGAAGGCATGTGTTGCAAAGTTCATAGAATGTGAGCAATAACAAGCCCAGGTCTTTGGAAGAACAGCGATCAGGGCAGTTTTGAGAGAGCAGGAACTAAGGAACAATTTCAGACACTGAAATCCAACGTGTATGCTCCTGTAGAGATTCAAATTCCTGCTGACCGAGCTTGGGCTGTGGGCCCACAGGAAAAGGGGGCTTTGATTGACAGCCCACCAGGGCCACCTGGAATTGGGGGTAGAGTACTCCGAAGGACAAGCAGGACACCTGCACATTAAAGAGAGGGAAGGGAGGTGGGGAGGCGCCACGGTCCTCTCTGGCTTATCAAGCCTGGGTGGGGACATTCAGATTCTTATATTTATTGTGTGAGAGCCTTATTTTGTGAAGAAACAAAAAGACGTTTTTAAGACAAAAAGATAAATTTAATTTGGAACTGAGTGTCTGCTGATAACAAGGAATCGCTGTTAATTTGGTTAGGTGTGGAATGCTACTGTGGCTCTGTGCAAAAAAATAAACACGTTTTAGATGAATACTAAAGCATGTGGGCATAGCATGTCTTTATGTCTGGGATTTGATATTTCTTCAAAGTGAAAAAATGAAAAACAAGAGTAGGTGAAACAAACCAGGCAAAATCTAATAATCCTCATTAGAAATTCCCTGTGGTGAGCCGTCTGGGCTGGCGGGGGGCTGGGGACTGGTTTGAGGTGCTTTGGGCGGGGCTGCCTGTGTTGGACCACACGTGGTCACATGTTCACTACCAGCATCGGTATTTGGCCAGGCCTGTTGGTGGCTGCCTTCTGCTTGCCCCGTCTCACCTGGCACGGAATCGAACATGCACAAGTAGAAGGTACTTCTGGACATGGTTGTTGCTGGCAGTCCCCTCTGGGCACTGGCGTGGCAGATGGCTGCTTCCTCAGCAGCCTCGCTCCTGGGGGACAGTGAGAAAGCCCTTTGGGGAGGTTGACCCAGTTTAGAATTCAAATTCACTTCCTTGCCTGTGCAATTGGAATTTATTTCCTCAGCAAAAAGCTGAAATCTCAGAGCAAAATACTGCTGGGCTTGAGCACGCGTGTGGTGATCTTCACAGAGGCTTCTGGTTTATTTTCACCACGGCGTGCACCTCGAGGTGGCCCCGGAACCTGATGTTATTAAGAGCATGTCATCACAGTACAGCATGGAAGCCGAGGCAATTTGGATGTCCTTGGGCCCCAAATTAATATGTGCTTTGTATAGTCTTGTAATTTGGAAGGCAATTTTCCATAATACAGTGAGAGACGGTCCTTTATACGTTTGAGATAATTTAGCTCAATGTTCATTTGAAAAAATTACGGTGCTAATAGCAGCTTCTCAGCTTCAGAACAATAGGCCATCCTGGGAGAGCAGGGGAGTCGCCGAAAGCGTTTCTCGTACCGGTCTGTCTGGGAGCAGCGTCTGGACGAGAGCTGGAGGAATTTCCCCCAGACCGGCAGCGGCCTGCGGTTGCATGGCAGGCTCTGAAATATGGCATGAACTTGTGAACTCCAGCTGATTTGCTTCAAACCAATAGCCCTTAATGGAGGGATATGAAGTAAAGGTGGAGGAGTAGTACATGTCCCTATTGTCCAGGTAAATTGGAAGTCAGAGCACATAAATTGTTTTTTTGTGTGCGTGTATGTGCAACTATGGAAACTATGTGTTCTTCTTGCTAGACTTCTCTGCCTAGGCCATGGAGAAATGGATGCAAACAGGGCTGAATGCATCAACTGCATCTCTCTCCTGGGTGTGGTTGCCCCTGGCTTCCTGGGTGTTCTGTACCAGGAGCCTTTGTTCTCTTGGGGGAGGCATATACTCTCAGTGCCCATCAGAATCCAATGTAATAATAAAAATAAATATGAAACTCTTTTTGTCCTAATCAGGAATGTGGTTTCTAATGATGTTGCTTTAGAACAAGGTGCAAAAGGTGCTGCTTCAGACCCTGGTCGGCCGCAATTCATTTCTAGTGCTTTCCCGATGCTTAGCACTACTAGCTTCGTACGGTGATTTTGAATAAGCTCCTTGCTGCGGTGGGTGTTCCCCTGATGGTATGCACTGTGAGCATGGAGGAGATCATGCCTTTTCTAAGACTCTGAACCCTTTGGAAAAGGGCTGTCAGTGAGGAATACTGTCACCCTTACAGTACTGACTCCACAGAGGGAGCTGGGGGGCAGGACTGTCTTTCTACATTTCTGCTCTCCTATAACTGGCAGTTGAGGTTGTAAGTCACCGGTTCGATAGGTGCCCACATTTGGAATGAGTCTGGTTCATTTCAAAGGCGTTCCTCTCCTGAACCAAGGCAAAGCTGGACACAGCTCAGGATTCCCTGCATTTCCCAGGCCTTTCTGGGCAAGAAGCACCTAGCGATTTCCCATTTTAAACGCCACTGTCCAGAGTGACGAGGTTCATGTTCGTTGGTTGGGTCTAAAGTAGACCCTCATGTACATGCATCTGAGGACAATTGCAACATAACCAGGAAGAATTAAAAAATGAAAGGGAGACTGTTACATGGTTCCCTTCATAGGCCAGCCTAGTCACCCGTGGCCACGACCTGGACACTTCTATTTGCCAGGCTGTCTGGTGATGGTATATGCTGGGTAGATGGAAGCCAACCACACCCTGGAAGAAAGTTAAAAGGATCAAGGGTAAGGTTTTATGAAAACAAATGCAGTCTATGAGCAGCAATTTCTGAAGCACTGCTGGGCTGGGAGGGAAGCAATGACCATCCTCTGGAGAGCAACCAGAGGCGTTCAGCCCCTCAGCATCCCCTTGACGCCCTTCCTGCTGTGGACCAACCACCAGTGTGCTGAGCAAATGTTTATTTCAGGGCAACGTGCTCCATTTAACCTAGTGGTCCTTAACTCTCGGGGCACATGGGAATCACTCCGGGAAATACGAATACTCGGGCCCCGTCCAGAGAGATTTGATTCAATTGTCTATATGGGGTCCTGACATTTTGCTTTTTTTCTTGTGTTTCTAATGTGGGAACCACAGATTAAATCCACCGTCTTGAGCAAAAAGGACAGGTGGGGGTGGGTCCGGGAGCAATTAAGGGAGATTCAAATCACCATCTCCTGAGGGTGGGGAGAGGTGAGCCAGACGGTCTGTTTCCTGACGACATCTCCGCACAGCTTCTCTCGGATGCTGCCCCAAATTGCTGGACTTATCCAGCCCCTTGCTCACCACAACTGGGACAAATCTAACTTGGCCTGTGAATCAGATGAATTCAGGCTCTCTGACTAGGCCGAGTGTCTGGTTTGGGTCAGTGAAACATTAACCCATTTCTTTTTATCGCGGACTGTGTCAGGTTTCTTGTGAGGATGAAGTCCAGTCGCTCCTTGGACGGCCTGGATAGGAGCCCCAGTTGGTTTCCGGAGGGCGGAGGCTGGGCATGAACTTGTTTGGGTAGGTGTGTCTCGGGGAGTGAGGCTCAGGGTTCACCTTTGGTAAATGGTTAACCAGAAGCACCTTTTCAGTCTCTGCGATGTCTTTCTTTGAGAAAGTGAGTTTCATTGGTGCTTTTGCAGGGCTCCACGCGGACAGGAGCTGCACCCTGTGGGCTTTATGGTGGAAGGTTGAGGGTTGGCCCAGGCAAGGTGGTGTGGATATTTCCATCACTTCTCCCCTCCCAGACGGCTGCTCTCTCTCACATAAACACCTACTCTTTACTTTTCACTCTTTGCTCCCAAAATAGGGTCTGCAGGAAGGACTAGTGAACTGGCCTAGTGGCCCCTTGCCTGGCACTTGTCCATTTAATTTGGAGGGTGCAGAGGTGAGACGAAACAAGGGGAGAGAGGTCAGGGGTGATGGGTTTTGGTGGAAGGACAGCTCGTGCGTGAGCTTCGGCAGGTTCGTCTCGGAACTGCAGAAAATCACCATGCTCTGACTTGGCAAATAAGGCCCATCACACAGTATCTGCATTTTTAAAAAGTGTTGTTTTTCATAAACATAGGAAGGGCTGGTGAGAATATCAAAGAGATATTTTAAAGCCCTGGCAGCTCACTGTTAATACACCTCAAATCTTGACTTTCGAATTAACAGCCAGGGCTCATCTTGGAGTTTCACCAACTCCGCAACAAGAATAATTTAATGAAGTTGTTCTAAGAGACAGTACCTTCTGCATTGTTTATTGAGATGACTTTATACATTGGGAACTGGTGCACTTAACAGATAAGCATAGAAACTAGGGGCCTTGTCCACAATACAACTTCATTTCATAGTATTACAGTTATTGATACTTTAAAAGGATGTAAACAAAAATATGGGAAAGCAATGACAAGATGAAAGGCAACAAAAATCCAGAAAACAGAAACGACACATACATAAATTAGCATGTTAGCTACTTCGATATTTCGAATAGCTCAACAGATAGCGACGCAAGAGCCCAAACCCCGAGTGTCCGTCCGTTCTGCAGTGCACGAGCCCAGCACAGAAACGACATCATTCCGGCCCAGGAACGAAAAAACAGCGTGCAGATGTTTTCTGCGTCGCCGTGTTCAAAACTCTTCATTTGCAACCTCAGCATTTTCCCTCTTTTTACTGTCCCTCAAAGACAATGTCTTCCCCCCTTACATTTTCTGCAGTAGGTTACTGGCTGGCTGCACTAAGACCGAAACTGGTGACCAGAACCCAAGCCGGCCTGCAGCAGCGACAGCCGAATTTCGTAGCGGCTCGGTGCCCTGCCTACACCACCCAAACATCTCATCACACATTATCCCAGGGGTGTCCCCCTTGGAAAACAGGTGGCAAAATAAAAAGAAACGTTTGCATAAAGAAAAAAATCCTTTTATGTTTATTATGTAATTTCTTAACCTGAAAAAGGCTGAGTTCATGGACTTTACAGATGCAAGACTGGATAACTGGTTTAATTTCTCTGCCCATTGGCCTTGCTGACATCATGGCGTTCCCCTGAGTTTGGTTAATGAGAGCAAGCAGTCAAGCAAACAGAAAGATTTGCAAAACAGCATAAAACAATGTGAAAACATTACTCAGTCTGTATCTTCTGTATTTCCTGGTAAAAGTGTCGGCGGAGCTAAGAAGCCGGTGTTCCTGCCCCTCTTCTTCAACTATGCGCTTCCTGCAGGAACCCCTTTCACTCGTGAGCTTAAGGCACCGGGTTGAGCGAAGGTGGAAGGTCCGACATGCGTATGGAATATGCAGGCTCTGAGGGACCTGTATGGAGAGGAACTGGCGGGGGAAGAAACAAAGTGATTCATGTCTAGGCGGAGAGGCCTGCAGCTTCAGGTGGGTCGGAGAGACTAGGCGAGAAGCACTAAGCAGTACTATAAGGCACTCCTACGGGGGAAAGAAACTAACGGGCTGGCCAGTGTGGAGAAGGAGCCTCGGGCCCCAGCGGTCCACTAGCCAGGGTGCTAGCTATGAGGCCTGAATCTGGGCCAGGGCCCAGGTCTAGGGGCAAGGAAGGTCAAGGGAAGGGGAGGAAGGGAGGCTGGTCTGCAGCTCTACGGTCAGTAGGAGGAAAGCTTCACTGGGCCGAGTTGCTGGGACACTTGCATCTTCTACCTACAACAACTGGCTTCACTCCAGACCTTTCAAACAAGATGGCTTCTCTTTCCACGAGGAGGAACCACGGCAGAACTGCAGTTGTCTCTTCACTCAGTCGAGCGGGAGTTTAACAGTGCCTCCCATCACACCGGGGGCCGCCTGTGAGCACTGCCGTGCCACGGGATGTGATCATCTGGAACCCATTTCACAGAGAGCCCGACAACTGCAGGTGTGCCAAGGAGGGCAGCCCACGCATTGCTTTCGACTTTCACCTAGAGTTTCACAAGGATTCGGATTCTACCTGCTAAGGTAAAAACTCACCAAAACACCCTGCACCCCACCAAAACACACTGCTGAGAGCCCCTCAAGTTAGAGATTTTTGAATACAATGCAAGTAGCATTGTGACCAGTAAGGCTGCCTGCCGGGTGCTGGGCCCAACCTTGCGCTGTCCCACGTGACAGAAACCAGCAGCCATCTGCTCGGGTCGATGGCACTGTCTGAGTATTCACTCAGCTCTGGGTTCAGCCCGGAGCGGTTGTTTCCGCTGGGCTCAGGGGGAGAAGAGTAGTATCAGGTGCACAACACACGGCGCTCCTACTGCCCAGCTGTGCACAAGTACCCAGGACAGAAAACCAGAGGACTTTGAAACACGCAGCTCTGGGCCAAGGAGGGAGGTGTTCACTTCTTTCCGTCTTTCCCCAAATTCTCTACTTTTTCACATTATCTTAGAGTAAGAAAAGTAGTGAGACAGAAAACCCAAGAAATAAAGGAGAAAATTGCATGCATCTATCTCTCCTGGGAGAAGTAAAAATATAAAATAGCCTTCGCGGTGACTCCAGGCAGCATTAGCATCAGGAGTTGAAGGTTCACTTCATGATCAAGTTATTTCAATAGTACAGCAGCCCAGACACGCCAGCGGCAGCAGCAGCTTCACCCTACATCAGGAGCAGGACGACCGTGGCTTTGTCCGAGAACACTCTCTTTGCAGAAAGTGTTCGGGGTGGCATCACACAGTGCCCAACCTGATACAGTATTTCATACAAGGCCTCTTCTGCCCACACAAACCCACAGGTTTGGAAGCCAAGCCTTTTAGAGAAGGCCTGGGAAGACACCCTCCCTGTCCGCGTTCAGCGTGCACATGCGCAGAGACGAAAACAGAGGCCTGGCCGTGTCCGAGGGGCCTGCCCCCAGCTCAGCGAAGGCTGCTCACGACAGCTGGAGATGTAAACGCCTCCATTCTCAGTGCGGCGGGAGGAAGTCACGCATCGTCCCTTTGTCCCTTCGTCCCTTCGCAGGAGCCTGAAAAGGCACCACTGAGTGCGCTGGGAGCCACGGGTCCCAAGAGCTCGCAGTGGTCCCTTTTCGGTGCAGGCCCGGTCTAGAACAATCAAAGAGTATTACCTCCTCAGCTAATCAAGTATTACAGCTCCTAAAAAGATTACCTTTAGCACTACACACATGAAAACGACTATAATGCAGGCCCCTGAAAAGGCTCAGTGAAGCAAAGAGGGGAAGACAGGCGTTTACATGGTTTTCATATAAAGAGGCTTTCAAAATTGGGAAAAAGCGGCCCTGGAGAGAACACAAGTCGCATTCCAGTTGACTGCTTTTTAAGTACTTTGTGGCCTTCCTGCAGCGGTGCAAACTGAGGTCTATTTTAGGAACTGGCTGCTTTACTGCAGGGTGAGGTGCCAGCGCTTTGCCAGGGTCGGACTGTCTCACACAGGAGTTTCTGGCGCTCAGAGGAGGGAGTTCCTCAAGTGATATGGGCCTTTCAAGGGAAAAGAGGTTCTCCTGGGTCGGCTGCCAGCTCTAGGAGATTAATTGGCCATTTTCTCATGTGCTTTAGGCACAAGATATTTAATATGGGATGAAAAACAGAACGTGAGGGAAAGCGGGTATTAGCTTGGTCTTACAGAGGTGGTAATCCACAGATTTGCCTTTGTTTCCACAGTTTCTAAGCAGTGGAACAATTACCTAACCATACACCAAGTAATTGGTTAGAGTTGAAAACAGTAAGGGCCTTCATGGGCTCTCAGGCATTCTGGGCTGAAAACAGCAATTCTGAGTTTTCACGGCAGACCCCGCTCACGCCGGCTGTGCTGTCGGGTCGGGTTTGGGTGGCAGCCACCGCGAGTGCAGCACGGGCCTCCCCTGGACGCGGCCAGGCTGCCAGAGACGCACGGACACGAGAGCACAGAGGCCGCTGGGATACAGCGCCAGCTCTGGGTAGCTGACGGTGATGGCACATCTATTTTCTTCCCTTTAGAAAATAAGCAGAAAATGATGCTGCTGGAGAGCTCGCAGCAGAAGTTCACAGGGACTGTGGATATTTAGCAGGGCCCTCTGAACGGGCCCTGGGGACAACAAGGGCCTTTAGAACTGGGACCCAAAATGTCCCCCTGACGCATGGTGGGTCTGACCCTGGGGGCCATGAGATGGGACAGGAAATTCAGCACACGGAGCAAGCGTGCTAGGAGGGCAGGAGACGGCTGTGCACTCACTCAGGTGCCCAAACGCACTGCGTCGGGCACGGCCTCGCCGGCAGTCGGAGTTGCAGATGCATTAATTATCGCGAAGGCAGAAGTGAGCTACAGTGACAGGGAGCGGGGGTGCGGGGAAAGGCACTGTGCCATCGGGCACATCTGTTTTGTAATAAGCAGGCCCATAATTCTCTAGTGAAAGATCTTGTTCTGCTATCTTCTTTGAGGCTGAAAAATATAAGTGCTGTATTTCACAGAAGGGGGGTAGGAAAGAGGAGATGATCAAATTTGTGTGCCTCTTTGCCAAGTGCTTGAGATTTTCCACCCTTTACTTTCGTGTGCTATGTTCTCTATAACTAGAGCGGGATTGGGGGCTGGGGAGTCAACCTGTTTTTCCAAGAGTAAAAGGCACCGTAAGGCATCTCGGGAATGGGGCCCTTGCCTCCGAACAAGTCTCCGCGCCTCGGACGCAGCTCCTATAGGATGAGAAAACAAATGCATGCGTGGTGCGGAGTTATTGAGTGGAAACATGCGTTCCGGGGGCAAAGGAACCGGCACAGCTCGAGAGGCGCGATGCTTACAGCAGATGGTCTGCACAAAAGTCGGTCTGACACGCCGTGTCTCTGGGTGGGTGGAAGGGTAATGAATTGGGATCTGGAGGGAGCAGGGTGTGGGGAGAAGGAGCAATGGGGTCAAACGTACCGTTGTTTCAATGTGAGCTTATTTTTTTGTCTGGAAAGAGTTGAGGTGAGGAGGGGGAACCGTGGTCCCCAGCGCCACCCCGGTGCCCCTGTCCCCGCTGTCTCTGCCACAGCCACCGCTAGGCCGGCTCCTGCCAGGGCGCTGCAGTGGAGGGCACTCCCCTGCCAGACTGCCAAGCAATCTGTTGTATTTCTTCTTCCTACATTATCTTAGCACTTCTTGTTTTACTGTACGGTGGTAATGATCTATGTGTATGTATATTTATTTAAACAATATTAGATTTAACTCATTAAATATATTTTGTAAGTTTGGTATTGTCTTAATAGTCTAATGTTGGCATTTTGAAGTTCCAGGCTATTCTGATTTTTTTTTTTAAATGATTAAAAAATACGACGGTAGCAGTGGCTAAATTGACAGAGGTCAAGCTGAAAGTTCAATGAAGAACAATGGGAAATAAAGCATTTACAATGACTCTGCAGGAACTGCCTACACAGGATTCTGTGAAAAGAAATTGAAGACGGTCTCTTGGAACGCATGCACTACGTATTCACCAGTCCACACACGGATGTATTTAACGACAATCCTCGGACATTTCCTCAGGCCAGCACCATTAAAATATCATAAATACCACCCAGGGAGCCCCGGGAACGGCGGCACACACAGGGGCCTCGCTCGCAACCTGGGAAACGGGCGGAGCGTCGCCTCGCTGGCGGAGCTGAGATTCGTACCAGCAAACAGAGCAACAACGTGCAGTAATTAATGGTCCCAGCGGTCTCGCTCTCTTTTCTTAAGAAAAACCTTTTCCGAGATGGACTTCAAAACCAGAACTCTCTCTCCCGATATAAATTAGGGGTGCATGCTTTCTGTCGGGGGAGCTCGCACTCTGGATTGCCAATCCTTTCGGCTCAGCTCAGGCGATCCCTGGGGAGGAAGCTGCGGGGAGAGAGCCAGGGACACCGGATCCTGGAAGGGTCCCAGAGTCGTTCCTGTGTTTTGAAGATTTTCGTAGGAAACAGATGGTGATGGGTGCTTGCCTCGGTTACCTGGCTGGGCTATGAAGGCTAAAAATAAATAACCGCCCCCCCCCCAAAGCACTGTTGTTCTGTTGGAAATGCTTCCTCCTCTGTAATAAAAAAATGGCCCCTGAGAGCCAAAAACGAAAAAGAAACACGTCTGAACCATAAAGCATTATGTGTAAAGCACATTTTGCTTGGGAGCAAGCAGCTGAAATTCATGGCTATGTGTAATCAGTTATTGGTAGTTTTTTGAGCCACAGAGGCTCCGTGGACCTTTGAGACATCGACTTACACAGAACATACGGATAGGTATGTGTGTGTGCATACATGTGTATAAATATATATCTATAGCTAGCTGAACATGAGACGTACTCTTCATCCAGAGGGGTCTAACTGGCTAGCTAGGACGCCCCTGGGGCTGATGGGTCACTGCGAGGTCACTCTCTGGCCTTGGGCCCCTGCCCAGTCAGGTGTTCTGGTAGGACAGCTCGAACATGTTGCAAGCCTCCTCCAGGCTCTCGTCCATGTTCAGCCTCTGCCAGAAAGACTTCTGCTTCTTCTGCAGCTCCCGACGGACACACCGCGGGCAGGGGACAGACTTTTCTTTGCACTCAGAATGGAAAACGGCTCCGCAGCTCTCACACCTGTAAAAGCCAGCAAGGGACATGATGAGCGAGGGTGAAATGAGCAGACACAACAGCTGCAGCCCCGCGGCCTGCGTGCAGCTCGGGCCGCAGCGTTTCATTCTGCACAGCCACGCCGGGAAGAGAGATGACTCATAAATGAGCGCTTCCCTTTTTTTCCCAAATGTTCAAGGTTGAATTGCACTTGGAAAACTTTCTTCTCTCTCCCTTTTTTTTTGGTGATTAGAAGTAGCTGGGGAGGAGGCTTTTCGCTTACTGGTGGGCCGGAGCCAGCAGTCAGCTAACAACACTGTGATCCCAGTGCTCGGATGATGGACAGGGTTCTAGAAACTCTGTTAGCTTCCTCTCCATGGAGCGGGAAGGGCGTTAGCGACAGAAAACGCGTACGAAGGGCCTGCGCAACTGAGAACACCCCGAACACCAGTACAACCCCGGCGTCACAGCTGTGCAAACGCAGCTTTCCACGGCAGTTAACGTGAGCTAAGTGGTTCTCCATCAACCCCCTTCCTTTATTTGACAGGATGGGAAGATAAAATGACACATCTTCTTCGTCTTTTGAATGCTGTCCTGTGGTCTGTTGTTCTCTGAGTTTTATTTGTTCAAATCAGGAAAACCCGCCCACCCTTTTAAGCCTACCTTTATAAAACGAGTAGAAATAGTAAGGCACAAGGGAGTGAAGAAGAGGATACAGTTTTTTAAACTGACACACAGATACTATGATCTGTAAGAGCAGACATTCCAGGTGGATGACTAGTTTGTTGTTTGGCTGGGTCGTGGAGGCCTGCACAGGAGTCAAGGCAGCTTGTTTTTACTGCAGAGTCTTTAATAATGAGTAACTGACAGGCACAACTATAGCTGCTTCGGTGGGTGGCTTGCCAATGTGCATTAATTTCTCATCCTTCCACACATGAGCGACAAGGCGACTATTACCTTGCCCCCAGAGCCCAAGGAATTGGGCTTACGTGATTTTGTTCAACCAGCAACGCCAGGGAGGGGCCAGCACTGGACGAGGTACAAAGCTGGTTACGGCCACCAAGGAGCCAGGCCTCGGGGCTCAGCCTTACACTTCTTTTGCTTTCCCTACAGTATCGTGAGTTTTGTTCCTGGGTTCCGGATAGTCCTGGGAGTACCACTCCTTTGCCTGCCACTGAGTTACTCCTGGCACCAGTCAGGATTCAGAAACTTTGCCCAAGGAGGATCTAGCCACCCTTGTACCCAGGGGAGCAGGCAGTGATTGGAGGGGGAGACACCGGGGAGGCTTAGGGTCAGTGATAGAAAGAAGCCTCGCCACATTCACAGCCCCTACCCCTAGCTCAGCTCTCTGGGCCCAGTGAGCCGTACTGGTTAGGAGAGTAAGCGAAGAGTAAGCAGAGAGGGATGGCTGCCTTCCACTCCCCACTTACATCACTTTCTGGCTGGGTAGCTGCCGTAGACTGAACCGTGTCCCCGCGCCATTCCGGCATTGAAGCCCTAACCTTCAAATGCCACTATAACTGGAGACAGGGCCTTTAGGAAGTAATTAAGGTTAAGCAAGTGATAAGGGTGGGCTGTGATCCGATATGACTGGTGTCCTTACAAGAAGCGACAACAGGAAGCTCAGAGGAAAGGCTGCAGGAGGGCTGCAGCCGGTGGCCATCCACAAGCCAGGAAGAGGGCGCCACCCGAAACCAAGCCCCGCTGGCCCTCGATCTGGGACTCCCGGCCTCCAGAACCGAGAGAAAGAAACCCCTGCTCCGAAGCCGCCCAGGCTGTGGTACTGTGCACGACAGCCTGAGCAGACTAACGCGGTGAACTTGAGCAAGTCACTGCACCTCTCTGAGCTTCATTCACTTTCCTTATCTGTTAGGTGGGGTTTCCATGACCATATACCTCGTAGAGGTGTTGTGAGGCTCCTGTGAGATCATGAAGAAAGCTTTCAGCACAGTTCCTGGCAAATAGCAAGTGCTTAACACAGCTAAGACTGCTCCTTTCATGTACGCAGCTGTCTGCCGCCTTCCTGTGAGCCTCATTTCAACCTGACTTCACTTATGTCACTGTGGTGACCTGGGGACACCCTGATCCACCCTCTGATTTCATAGATAAGAAAGCTAAGATCCTAAGAGGGCATATGACTACCCCTGAGAAGGCAGTGAGTTGAAGAGAGTTGTGACTAGAACCCAGGACCTCCGGCCCCTCAACCATGACTCTTACTGAGGTCTGGTCACTTGAGCGGGAGTGTGTGCCGTCGGGCGGGGGAGTGCAGGGCTTTGAGTCAGAATACAGTGTTCAAATCAGAAATCTGTCCTTGAGTGATCTGAGCAAGTGATTTACTCCCACGGTGCTCTGGTCCCCTCATTAATAAAAAGGCTGCTCTCACTGACCCCCAGCCCGCTCACTGGGGTCTGTGAGACCACAGTGGGTGTGTGTGTGAGAAAGGGTGGTGTGAATGGCAAGGGCTCGAAGGAGCAGCGGAGTGTGACACCACCTCTGATGGTGGCTCTATCCTTCTTGACAGTGGTGCTATGCTGGCCAGGGCAGGTGACAAGTTGGGCCATCTGTAGCATCTCTCTGCCCCCTGCCCCTCCTTCCTTCCAGTGGGGATGAAGGTCAGGCCGAGGTCTGCCTCTCTTGTCTGGGCCAGCTCCTCCCCAGTGCCAGTGGCCTGTCCCCATTGGGTCATACCTCTGTGTAACCTCCTATCAGTGGAATGACACTAATGGTAGCTTTATCAAATAAATTTCCTCCTTCCGGCCCCCTTTGCCCTGCTGAGTCAGTCAGTGATTTATATACAGGGGATGTTGCCCTAGGGCGGCGATTGATAAGGAGAAAACCACTGGGTTCCCTCAGTGCCACTCCCTTATCTCTGCTGATACCAGCCCCACCCCCACCCGTGGTAGGGGCTGACTCTTATCGAATATTTCTGGAGCAGCAAACACCCACGGGTGATGGAGAGACCAAGTGCACCTGCTCTTTCTAACCAAAGGTCAGTAACTGAAAAAAAAAAGTGAGATAAAAAATTAATGATTTCAAAATAGAACCAAGTCCTATTTTCTAACAATTTGTAACCCAGCATGCATCTTTTGAACTGTGTAATGGATAGACTGATCAATGACCTTCCTAAATTCAGAGACTCTGTTGTTAATTCCCTGCCCCCACCCTGACTTTTTCTTTAAAGGAAAAGGATAAGGGAGGAAAAGGAGGGGGGAAGAGAAACTGTTCTCTTACATAAATTTTATGGAGCTCTGTAATAAAAATGTAATGTATGGGAATAAGAAAGTATTTACTTTAAAAATGCAATATAGGTATGCTCCTTTTTGAGAACAGGACTTTATTAAAAAGGACCTTTCACGTTAAAAAGTCACCGGCTCCTTAGTATTTACTGAATGTTCTGATTGTATTTAAAATATGATTTAACAAACACCAACTTTTCAGAAACATGTCTTTTATATAAGGCAAATCGACTAGTGCAATCATCTAGCCAGAAAATTGCCGCACATAATGAAAGAGAAATGTCCCTTCAGTGCTCCTGAGTGATAATCAAAGGGAAGCCAGCACCTCCATTTCTGAGTCACTCAGTCCCAGCCATCGGCTGTTGCCCGGCTTTTGCTTGAGGCTGTGCACCACAGAGAACAAAGACCTATGTCCTCCCTTTCCCGAGTCACAGAGAATGCCACTGCAGGGACACACAGTGGATACAGCCCACAGCCATCCACCGGGTTTTTCCTGAAAACATCCATCGCTTCACCTGATCCAGGCATCTCAACCTCAGCACCGCCGGCATTCGGGGCTGGATGGTTCTTTGTTGTGGGAAGGCTGTCCTGTGTGTTGTGGGATGTTTCCAGTGTCTCTGGCTTCTGCCCACTGGATGCCAGTACCACCCTTCCTCCATTCCCTGCATTTGTGACAACCAACAATGTCTGCACACTGCCAAACGTCCAAATGTGCCCTGTGGGGGAGGCCATCCCCGCTGAGAACCTTCGACCTCATCTGTCTGGAGAAGGCCTCCTGGAGGAAGTGCCCCGGGGTGAAACACGCTCTCCCCAGGCTTATACCATCAATAAGGTCCGGTGTAGTATCCTTATCCCTGTCGCTTTCACAAGTGTATATTCTTAATACATTATTTGATTAAAATAGCTGGCACCAGCATAATTATCCTGTGGTTTCTCAAAATAATTTAGACCATCACTGACGACACTATTCTCTGCATCCCTCAGCAACCCTTACCTCCTATTAACTCACTGACTTTTCAGCCCTCCTGGCAGCCATCTTGGTGGCTGGCCCTTAGGCACATTTATTTGCTCTTTGGCCCAGCACCTTTGGGCAGTTTCTTGGTGGTATCCTTTGCTTCTTTGGTGTCCTGTCTGGGCCACGAAAACCAAAAAACCTTCTGTGTTTGCTTCATAACATGAATTGCTTTTATATAACTGAAGCAGCTAGGGTTTAGCAACTACTGCAGTGCCCAGGGGCCCCGTGAATGTCAAGGAGGCCGCTCACTGCAGCAGGTGGGCTTGATTGGGGTGAGGTACCCAGAGTTCTCAGTCCAGGGGGGCCCAAGAGTCACTGGGCTCTTAGGTAAGTCACTCATCTCTGCATCTCACTCTCTGCAAACATGATAAAGAAGGATGGATTAGATAGTATGGAAGTTTCTGTCCAGCTTGTAGATTTTGTGCAGGAGGAAAGAAGGCTACTCTGGGTGCTGTCCTCCCCTTTCCATATTTCCTTGCCCCAAAGTCCGCGGAGAAAGGATGGGAGTGTAGCCTTGTGGGCCCCTCCTGAGAACAGCTCAAGCTGACAAGCTGGGATTGCGTGAGATGAGCCTTAAAGTGAAAAACAGTACTTTAAACTTTATTTATTTGCATTGATTAAGCAAAAGCTATGAGATAGTTTATACAAATTAGTACATGCAGCTCTGATGATCAGAAATCTGGCCAAAAGGAGCTGGCTCTGCCCTGTCTTATAAACTTTCAATTCAATATCCAGGATTTCTTTCTAGCCTCCCCAACCCTCGACAGCAGCATACC